CTTCCCAGCCCCGTCCCTGAGCTTCTTTTGCTCAAGGTAAGTACTCTACCACTTGAGCCACAGCACTACTTCTGGCTTTTTCTGTTTATATGATACTGAGGAATCAAACCCAAGGCTTCATGCATGCTAGGCAAGCACTCTAAGCCACATTCTCAGCACTGCAATATATATTTTTAATATGCTACAAAAGGACTTTTTGTATTTTTATAACATTTAAAAAATTATGGTAGAAATCACAGTTTGCTATATGGGCCATTTTAAGTTGCAGAGTTAAACAAATCTATTAAAATATTAGGATTTCCATCCTTTTTTTTTTGCCAGTCCTAGGGACTGAACTCAGGGCCTGGACCCTGTCCCTGAGCCTCTCTGCTCATCTAGCACTCTTATCACTTGAGCCACAGCGCCACTTCTGGCCTTTTCTGTGTGTATGTGGTACTGAGGAATGGAACCCAGGGCTTCATGCATGCGAGGCAAGCACTTTCCCACTAAGCCACATTCCCAGTCTGTTTCCATCCTTTTTTTTAAGTTTTTTTTTTTTCATCCAGTCTTCCATCTTGTTTTTGTCATATACAAAAAAAAAAAAAAAAAGATGGGTACTCAAAGGTTGATTTCATTAAGTTATGTTTTCTGCTTCCTTGAGGACATCTTTTTTTTTTCCATGTCAGTCAGTCATGGGACTTGAACGCAGGGTCTGAGTGCTGTTCCTGAGCTTTTTGGCTCAAGGCTAATGCTCTGCTACTTTGAGCCATGGCACCATTTCTGGTTTTCTGATAGTAAATTGATGATAAGAGTCTCATGGTCTTTCCAGTCTGGGCTGGCTTCGAGCTACGATGCTCTGATGTCAGCCTCCTGAGTAGCTAGGATTACAGGTGTGAGCCACTGGCTCCTGGACATCAAGGACATCTTAAGTTGAAGTGGGCATTATTTTCTTTCTTTGACAAGCATGTAGCAGTGAAAGTATATCACTAGTGTGCTAGTGCCTCAATTCATATCAGTAGTTGTGCCATCAGAACAAATTTCCAAACAGTAGAAAGGGCAAATAGTGTCTTACTGCTTTATGAAAACGGTTTTGATTTGGTGACTTTCTGAAGGTTCTTAAGATTCCTCTAAGGATCTGCACTTTGAGAACCACTGATTTAGATCCTTGTCAGTGAAAGAAGAGGGAGGTCTGCATTTGTAATGGAGTACAGATAAAAACAAAGGTAGGTTTGGGGGATATTGCAAAGCTGAAGTGAATTAAAGAACTGCAAATTTGCCTTTGAAAAAATTACTTTTGTCTTTGTTAGTTTCTGACCCTCATTTCCATGTCTTCATTGTTACATTCATGTTACTTAGATTAAACTGAAAATTTATTCAATAATATAATGATAATAAAAACATAATCTTGACTAAAAATACTAGATCTGAGAAGGTAATGAGCCTAGTTATCTTCTTATTGTTTTAGTTTGAAAATTTATGATTTTGTTCTTTATCACCATCTGAATTCACCTGTGTGTTGGACATAGGTAGATGTATATGTCATTAGTTGAGTATTAGGAACTACTTTCTCTTATACTGCTCAGGCAGATTACTAAGGAAAATAGTTTATGTCCCTGTTTCTTGCTATTTCCATTTGAAGGTTTTTTCCCCCTTCTTAAACAGCAGTTCAAATGCTTCACCTTCAGAAGGTGCGCCACTAATGGGAAGTTGTGGATGTACTCCTCACTCATTCCCAAAGTTCCAGCACCCTTCCCATGAGCTTTTGAAGGAAAATGGCTTTACCCAACAAGTATATCACAAGTATCGTCGAAGATGTCTAAGTGGTAAGATGCTTGTGCTTTACCTAAATATATTTGAAAATAAAATGTTTTAAAAGTTGAAATTATTTCACGGAGTATCTGAATAAGATATTCTTTAATTTTTTTACAATAATGACTTTAAGTAAATTTATTTATATATATCCATTTATTATAGCTTCGACACATTAGCAAATGAAACTTAGTAGGTTTTTTGTTACTTAATTTTTTTCTAATTTGAGCAAGCATATCATAAAATAGGTTAGTATTTGTCCTTTGTTTTGAGAAATACAATTTTAAGGATTAGTATGTTTAGCTTTGTTCATTTTAAGCTATATAAAATGCCAATTATCTTGGCTTTTATTTATTTTTATTTTTTGTTGGTCGTGAGGCTTCAACTCTGGGCCTGGGCTCTGTCTCTGAGCTCTTCAGCTCAAGGCTAGCGCTCTACCACTGAGCCACCTTCCCAGCCGCTGTCCCTGAGCTCTTCAGCTCAAGGCTAGTGCTCTACCACTTGAGCCACAGTACCACTTCGGCTTTTTCTGTTGAGGAATCAAACCCAGGGCCTCATGCGTGCTGGGCAAGCACTCTACCACTGAGCCACCTTTCCAGCCCCCTATCTTGGCTTTTAAAGGTATATTTAATTTTGAAATGCTTTGTTATTTGTATTTTTTCCAGAAAGAAAACGCTTGGGAATTGGACAGTCCCAAGAAATGAATACCCTCTTTCGTTTTTGGTCCTTTTTCCTCAGAGATCACTTCAATAAAAAAATGTATGAGGAATTTAGACAACTTGCTTGGGAAGATGCAAAAGAAAATTATAGGTAAATAAGTTTCTAGTTATTTTATACTTAGTGAGTTAAAAAAAAATGGAAGAGGGGCTGGGAAGGTGGCTCAGTGGTAGAGCGCTTGCCTTGCATGCCTGAGGCCCTGGGTTCAATTCCTCAGCACTACATAAGCAAAAAGAAAAAAGCTGGAAGTGGCGCTGTGACTCGAGGTAGAGCGCTAGCCTTGAGCTGAAGAGCTGAGGGACAGCGCCCAGGCCCAGAGTTCAGGCCCCACAACCGGACCCCCAAAAAACATGGAAGAAACAAGTACCAAAGTAACCTGACTGAAAGTAGTACAACATAATGGAAATGGATCCAGTGTTTGTTTTCTGTTACCCACAAACTCAGAAGATTAAAGCAAACATTAAGTCATAGCTTCTAAGGATCAAGACTTTAGGATCCAGCTCTCTAAGGAGTCCTGGCCCAAGATCTCCCATTGGGTTCAATCAGTGTTTTTGATGGAGTTGGCATCAGTGAAGACTTAAATTGAGCTAGAGAATCCCCCTGAGCTCCATCCCGTGGCTGTTGGGCAGAGGTTATCAGTTCTTGGTCACAGCAACCTCCCAAAAGGTATTTTACAGCTTAGCTTCAGATACAGTGAGTGATGTAAGACAGAAACATAGCTTTGAGGTCTGTATCTTGTATAATCTACATACAGAAGTGACATACTGTCACTTTCCTACCATATTGTAGTGTTCATACAGACCAGCCCCACACTGTAGGAGATCATAAACAACTGATGATGTGATCGGTAGAAACCTTAGAAACTGGCACAAGGACTGAATATAATTATAATAATTTTCAGGACTGGGAAGGCAGCTCAGTGTTAGAGTGCTTGCCTTGCATGCCTGAGGCCAAAAAAAAAAAAAAAGCTGGAAGTGGCGCTGTGACTCAAGTAGTAGAGCGCTAGCCTTGAGCTGAAGAGCTGAGGGACAGCGCCCAGGCCCAGAGTTCAGGCCCCACGACCAGACCCCCCCCCAAATTTTTTAATACTAAGCCAAGCCCTGGTGGCTCACACCTGTAATCCTAGCTACTCAGGCGGCTGAGATCTGAGGATCGTGGTTCAAAGCCAGTCCGGGCAGGAAAGTCCATGAGACTCTTATCACCAAGTAAGTACCAGAAAACTGGAAGTGGTCCTGTGGCTCAAGTGGTAGAGTGCTGAGGAGCTGAGAGCTCAACCCCCACAACTGACAAAAAAAAAAAAAAAAAAATTCTCTCCTATAATCAGGACATGAGGGAAGCCAGGCGCTGGTGGCTCACGCCTGTAATCCTAGCTACTCAGGAGGCTGAGATCTGAGGATCATGGTTCAAAGCCAGCCCGGGCAGGAAAGACTGTGAGACTCCTATCTGCAATAAACCACCAGAAAACCGGAAGTGGCGCTGTAGCTCAAGTGGTAGAGCGCTCGCCTTGAGCTGAAGAGCGGAAGGACAGCGCCCAGGCCCAGAGTTCTAGCCCCATGACCGACCAAAAAAAAAAAAAAAAAAAAGCTGGTGCTCTACAACTTGAGGCACAGCTCTACTTCCCAAGTTTTAGTGTTTTTTCTTCATGAGGCATGAACTGAAAGAGCTAGACACTTGCCTCTGCTCTTTTCTCAAGCAGTTAGGTTGCATATTTTAGTTGTGTTATTAATGGAATACTCTTGGTCTTTGAAATAATCTGTTAAAAAATAAGAGTAAAAATCCAAATATGGCCTAATATTGAATAAATTCACAGGTGATTTTAGATAAAATTGAGCATCTCTCATTCTAATATAATCAATATAAGATAATCCCATAAGAGGAATGTCATGGCACTTTTGTCACTCTGTGTTTCAGTCCTTCATCACATTTTTTCTTGGGAGGGGCGGGGTGGGCCAGTCCTGGGCTTGAACTCAGGGCCTAGGCACTGTCCCTGAGCTTCTTTTGCTCAAGGCTAACACTCTACCACTTGAACCGCAGGACTGACCACTTCCGCTTTTTCTGTTTATGTGGTACTGAGGAATCAAACCCAGGGCTTCATGCATAGTAGGCAAGCTCTCTTATCTCTAGGTCACATTCCCAGCAGATCATGTAACTTTCAGCCATACAAACTCAACCAATTGCATCACTTCTGGATGCCAAAGCAAAGGATTAGAGTGTAAGTATATAGTTGGCATTGTGTGTTTCTCTTGCTGGCTTGCCAAGAAGCCTATTTATAATTTTGGACAGGCAGTCACTCTGAATACTTGAGTCGCCTGTCTAAGGGTTCTCACTGACATTTTAGTGGCTGTGCTCCCTTTCCTGGGTTCTGCTCACCACTGTTAGGTGAATGTTGAGCCCATGCTGTTGGCTAACCCACTGTACAGAACTTGTCTCAGGTTTTCTAGGTAGCTATAGGAAAAAGCAAATAAATTTGTTTTCTGATTTGTGATCTTTTATCAGGGTATGTGCTACTAATTGTACTTAATAACCAAAGCAGAGAATGTTCTGTTAGGCCCCATTTCACTGGGTCCATCACATCAAGAGTGGTAAAGCACCTGGCCTAGACTCCAAAGTACAAAAGATTAAGAGTGGCCTTGTCTTTTTAGAGTTCAGATCACATTCAAGAGTATTTAATGCTATAGAAAAACATGTGGTTATTCATTCTAAGAAAAATTGAAAATATTCCAAAGTTCTACAGAGATAGCCGGGAGAGACACACTGTAGGTCTGAAGCTATAATCAAAGACTATAGATTCTCAGACACTTTGACTATACTGAGTCATCAAAAACAGTAGCAAAGTCATTCAAATATTACTAATTAGCATTTCTCTTAAAAATCTAAATGTTAAACCTCATTTCTTGCTTAATTATTTGTGTTATATATGTTTATATTAATGCCACTGATTGTTAATGATTAATGTGTTATTTTGGAAAAAATAATCATTGTAAAACTTCTGTTTCCTTTTCATAGGTATGGGTTAGAATGCCTGTTCAGGTTTTATAGTTATGGACTGGAAAAAAAATTCAGACAAGAAATTTTTAAGGATTTCCAAGAAGAAACCAAAAAAGACTACGAATCTGGTAAAAAAAAAAAAAAATCAGTTAATGTTTGGAAATTATAAATCTGAATCTGTCAACAAATAAGGAATTTATAATTTGTGTCTTCATAGTAAACCATTTAAGATCTTCTATTATGGTTCATGGGCAAAGGATGGAGCACATTAATAGTAACATCAGGGGCTGGGAAGGTGACTCAGTGGTAGAGCGCTTGCCTTGCATGCATGAGGCCCTGGGTTTGATTCCTCAGCACCACATAAGCAGGAAAAAAAAGCTGGAAGTGGTGCTGTGGCTCAAGTGGTAGAGTGCTAGCCTTGAGCTGAAGAGCTGAGGGACAGCTCCCAGGCCTCTGACAAAAAAAAAAAAGTAACATCAGTGGGTAAGCTTGAACTGGATTGGTACAATTGCAAGTGAGAAAAAGTAGAGGGTCTAAGCCAGATCCCTAGGTCAGAGTTCTGTTTCCGGTGCATAGTAACTTTATGACATTGAGTAAGTTCCTTCATCTTCATCAACAGCCTGTTAACAGATTTATGATTCAAATTAATATGTGTATCTTATATGCACTTAAATGTTTGTTATATATAATCAATAAGTGTTAGCTACCATTGTTGTTTGTTCATTGCATGTCTTATTTTCAAGATCTAAAAAAAGCATATATTGAAGAGAAATAATTTTACTAGTTGAATCACATGTTTAATATTGGTCTTTTTTTTTTTTTTTTTTTTTGTCGGTCATGAGAATTAAACTCTGAGCCTGAGTGCTATCCTTCAGCTCCTCAGCTCAAGGCAAGTGCTCTACCACTTGAGCCACAGCGCCACTACTGTTTCCTGGTGGTTTATTGGAGATAAAGAGTTTCACAGCCTTTTTTGTCCAGGCTGGCTTTGAACAGAGATCGTCAGATCTCAGCCTCCTGAGTAGCAGTAGCTAGAATTACAAGTGTGAGTCACTGGCGCCCGGCTTAATATGGATCTTTTGGGGCTTTTATTTTTGTTTTGTTGAGACAGGATCTTACTATGTAGCCCTGTTGGCCTTAAACTCAGCATTCTGCTTTAGCCTTCCAAATGCTAGAATTACTAGGGTTACAGTTACCAGCCAGTTTAAAGGAATTCCATGTAACAATGCATATTCTTCTTTGTTATTAGGTCAGCTATATGGACTAGAAAAATTTTGGGCCTATCTGAAATATTCTCAATCTAAAACACAGTCTGTGGACCCACAACTTCAGGAATACCTCTGTAGGTTTAAGAAATTAGAAGACTTTCGCGTTGATGTGAGTTCTTTATTTTTTTAATTAATTTTTATTGTTATTGTAAAGGTAATAGATGGAGGGGTTACAGTTATATAAGTCAGGTAATGAGTACATTTCAATGTGGACAATGGCTCCCCTTCCTTGCTTTCAGTTTTTCTCTCCTGCCCCCATCCACAAGTGAGTATCACTGCTATATCCTCTTTTCTTTTTATTACTCATATCTCCACCAGAAAACCAGAAGTGGTGCTGTGGCTCAAATGGTAGAGCGCTAGCCTTGAACAAAAGAAGCTCAGGGACAGTGCCCAGGCCCTGAATTCAAACCTCAGGACTGGGGGAAAAAAAGGCAGTACCATGCAATACATAATTAAATATAATAATAATAATAGGAAAAGAGTCTCCCAGACTTTCCTGCCTGGGCTGGCTTCAAACTGTGATCCTCAAATTTCAGTCTACTTAGTAGCTGGGCACCTACTAGTACTTTTTTTTAAAATTGCTTTTGTTTCTTGTACTGAGCATTAAAACCAGTGTTCTGTGCATGTTAGGCAAATGCTCTGCACTAAAGTCTGTCTACAGCCCCCAAAATGTTCACCTTTTTGATTATTTTAACCCATATAATTTTTGTAACAGTTCAGTGGTAGAGTGCTTACCTACTATGTGCAAGGCCCCAGGTTACATGTGCAGCACCACACAAAATATATAATTATAGCTAGTTTCATTAAGGCAAGGCTTGTTATGTGCAACAGGAAAGAAGACTATAATCAGTTTGATTTCATAAGGAAAAGAAATGGGATGAATGTAAGAAATAAGGACAAAGGAGAAAATAAAACTAATACAGAAATGAGGAAAGAATAAGAACTAAAATGTAGAGCAGAAAACTAAATGGTGGCTGGAAATGTGGCTTAGTGGTAGAGTGCTTGCCTAGTACGCATGAAGCCCTGGGTTCGATTCATCAGTACCACATAAACAGAAAAGGCTGGAAGTGGTGCTGTGGCTCAAGTGGTAAAAGTGCTAGCCTTGAACAAAAGAAGCTCAGGGACAGCTCCCAGCCCCTGAGTTCAAGCCCCATGACTAGCGCCAAAAAAAAAGTAAATGGAAGATGAGGTCCACTCCTGCTTTGGGTTGTGATTTTTGGTCTTTTGGTTCTGGGTAAGTGGCTTTGATGGCTCAGGAATGGAATCAGTAGAAATGCATATGTCTGGAATTAAGCTACTTTTCTTACACTCTGTTCTGTAGCTCAAACCCCAAAACATGGGAGCTTTATGAGTATCTGTTGAGTGAAAAAGTGAGCCTCTGATTTAGTTAAGGAGGAAATTTGAGTTTAATACTTTGAGTGCTATAGGGAGTCATTGTAGTAAAAAGTCTACTGAAGCACCAAAACAGTTTCTCCCTGCTGGAAAAGTCTGGCCTTAGATTCTGAAGGAGGGAGACAGTAAAATACGCCACTTTTCATGATTTGCAGCACCCTATTGGTGAGGAATTTGGAAGAAAAAGACATTCATCTACTTCTGGTGAGGAGCGTAATCGTCATAGATTTCCATCTAATTCCTCTACAAAGCCACCAAATGGTGCTAAGCCTACATCTGCCAGTGAACTTCACATCGCAGTAAAGTCTCCCAGAAGGAATACTTCGTAAGACCCTGCAACAGTTATTCCAGACTAGTGTGACCTCAGTCTCAACAATGCCTGAGAAATAGACTGTTATGAAAGTTGTGTATCCTTGAAATCAACATTTACATCAGTATTTATGTTGGGAAATCTTCTGATGTTTAATTGTGATAACCAGATAAAACAAAAAGGGAGAAAAGCAGTTAGCATTTTTTTCTAGCAACATAAATTTCACAAGCACCCTGATTTCACAAACAAGTATAGTTTGTATGGGCCCTCTGCTCAGTGATGCACTTTGACCTCAGTGTTTCTTTAATGCTATGTTTACAAGACAGAATTCCTTAAATACACTGAAAAGTAACATGAGGAATGCCTGATATTTCAGCTCATACTTCTTAAAGAAGATATATTAAGTTGTATTCATCTCTTCTATAGAGCTCTTAAAGAAGCAAATGACCTCACTATCAATTCATATTTGGACGTGGAAAACAAAGGAAGATGATGTGTATATTTTTTAAATTCACAAAACAAATATATTTCTTTTTGGTATATAAAGAAAGCTTTTTTAAAAAAGTAGAAATACATAGTTACATTGAAGTACATGTACTTTTGATGCTGAATTTTGTTTTTTTTCCCCTCCTTAGTCATACCTCATGATTTTCGTCATTGATGTGTTGGATAGAGTTTTTCTGAATTGGCATAAAGTGGTTATATATTAGAAAAGATTTAATTTTGTGATTCTGTTAAACTTTGTACATAGAATTGGGATTATTGGTTATATTGGGATTGGTTGAAATACATATATTGAGAATTGGTTATATTAGGATTGGTTGGAATATTGCTATAAATAAATTAAATGTCTGTCTGCTTGTTTCAAATGTATCTCCTGTTAGTACATCTGCAAATGGGCATGTCACAAGTAGCTAGGTTATCAATTTAAAGGTAGTGTTCTTTTTCCTTTTTGTTTTTATAATTTTTGCTTTATGCTTATAAGTATTTTTACAAGTTATAACATTAATTTCTTTTTTGTTGTTACTGTAAGTGATGTAAATGATAGTTTTTGAGTTTGGGTGGGATTTAAAAAAGTAAAAATTTTAAGCTTTATTTAGAATATACTCATATTCAAACTATACTAGTAGAAGACCATTGTATTTTATAAATGAACTTTCAGTTATTAAACTTCTGTTCATTTTCTTGAACACAATAGGAGTCACAAGTATTTTATGTATTGGCAGAAATGGATAGTTTTTGTACACTAAATGTATTGCTTTATTTTTGTGTCAACCCACATGTCTTCTTAGAAATAGCAATATTAAAATATAGCTGGGGTGTTGTTTACTGGTAGAATACTTGCTTAGCATGACAACTCTTCCCCAAAATCCTAAAAACCCCCAAGACATATAATCTTACATATTCTTCTTTGGATAAAAGGGTATTCATCAGTAAATACATTTGTATTTAGTTATTTTTCAGGTGTAAGTGATCATCTTTTGAAGTTAAATTTATTCTTTGGGGGGCTGGGAAGGTGGCTCAGCGGTAGAGTGCATGCCTTGCAAGCATGAGGCCCTGGATTCGATTCCTCAGCACCACATAAACAGAAAAAGCCGGAAGTGGCGCTGTGGCTCCAGTGGTAGAGGGCTAGCCTTGAGCTGAAGAGCTGAGGGACAGCACCCAGGCCCAGAGTTCAGGCCCCATGACCGGCAAAAAAAAAAAAAAAATTATTCTTTGGGGGTTAATTCTGATGTGCTTTAATTTTTGGAAGCAGGCCAATTTGAAATTTATTATTCAGAAAATAAATTTACTCATGTTATAAAAAAGGATGCAAAACCATCAATATTTAAAACAATAAACCCTGAAGTGTTTGTGTTTGTTTATATGCTGGTACTTGGATTTGAACTCAGAACCCCAACTTGGGACCTCATACTCGGTTGGTCACACATCTAGCCTAGCTCCTTGCTGTTTGTTTTGGAGATGAAGTCTTGTGGATTTTTTCTACCCAGGATGGTCTCCAGCCCCCTCCTCCAGGTCTCAGACTCCTTAGTAGCTAGGATTATGGTCAAGAGGCAAATGGTCTCTGAATTTAAGTTTTAAGTGGGGTTTTTTGGTTGGTTGTTTTGTTTTGGGTGGTTTTTGTTGTTGTTGTTGTTTGTTCTGGGTTTTTGTGGGGGTTTCTTTTGTTTGTTTGTTTTTGGTCTGTCATTGGGCTTAAAAATGGGGCCTGGGAGCCATCCCTGAACTCTTTTGCTTAAGACTAGTTCTCTACCACTTTGAGCCAGAGTGCCACTTTGGGTTTTCTGGTAGTTAATTGGAGATAAGACTCTCACAGACTTTCCTGCCCAGGCTGGATTTCAACCATGATCCTCAGTTCTCAGCCTCCTGAGTAGCTATAATTATGGGCTTGAGTCATCAGCACCTATCAAGTGTTTTTTTCTTTTTTTTCTTGTCAGTCATGGGGCCTGAACTCTAGGCCTGGGCACTGTCCCTCAGCTCTTCAACTCAAGGCTAGCATTCTACCACTTTAGCCACAGTGCCACTTCTGGCTTTTTCTGCTTATGTGGTGCTGAGGAATTGAACCCAGGGCCTCATGCATGCAAGGCAAGCACTCTACCACTGAGCCACCTTCCCAGCCTAGCAAGTGTTTTTTTTTTAAAAGAGGTCTGTAGTTCTGGATTTTTAATGAGAAATTTCCAAACCATGCTTATTAGCTTTAAATAGTCTCTTGAAATAATTTAAATTTTTTTCAATATCATTTTTGTGTTGAACACATGCATGTGAAATTTTAAGATTGTTTCTACTCAACTAAATATGAAAATTAAATTTGGGGAATTGTATATTTTTATGAAATAAATTTTATCATATATGTTAGTAATTTTGAAAGCAATATATATATACACTGGAAAAGTCAGAAAAGCACAAAGGAAAAAAGTTACCTTCTTTAAAAAGAAAAAAAATAGTATTACACTATATGTACACAATTGAGAATTATAACTTACTCTTTTAATTAATGGAGTTGAACTGATGTTTTGATAGTTCTAAATCAAAACTTTTTTTTTTGCTAGTTACATAGTATTATAGCATATGACTACAATTTACTTAATTGCCTATTGTTGAACTTGAACTGTGGCAAGGTTGGGTCTTAGGAACAATTATTTAACTTGATGTGTTATATCCTTTACAAATGAATTTTGTATATAAACATGGGGTTTTTGCCTAGAATAAATTCCTAGAAGCTGAAATTCTAAATTGAAATCAATTTTAAGATCCTCTAAGAGGGTTGCATCCTTCATCACTGATTATTGTACATCTTTATTAAATTAAGGAACAAAAATAGTGTCTGATCATTTGATCATCATTTCTGTTTTATTTGTATTTTTTTTACTAAGTAGTTTGTATGAACGGGTTACGAGTCAGGTTATGAATACAATGCTTCTTGGTCAATGTTACTCCTTTTTGTTATTGTTGGTCGTGGGTCTTGAATTCAGGGCCTGGGTGCTGTCCCTGAGCTTTTGTGCTCAAGGCTAGAGCTCTACCACTTTGAGCCACTGCACCACTTCCAGTTTACTGGGGGTTAATTGGAGATAAGAGTCTCATGGACCAGGCACCAGTGGCTCACACCTATAATCCTAGCTTTCAGGTGGCTAAGATCTGAGGATCTTGGTTCAAAGTCATCCTGGGCAGAAAAGCCCATGAGACGATTATCTTAAACACTAGAAAACCAGAAGTGATGCTGTGGCTCAAGTGGTAGAGTGCTAGCCTTGAGCTGAATTGCTGAAAACAGCGCCCAGGCCCAGAGTTAAAGCCCCATGAACAACAAAAAAAGAGTCTTATAGACTTTCCTGCCTGGGCTGGCTTCGAACCTGTGGTCTTCAGCTCTCTGATCTCAGCTTCCTGAGTAGCTAGGATTACAGGCGTAAACCACTGGCACTTGACTTCCTTTATTTTTTTGTAACATGGATTTTAAGTTTTTAATGATTTGCTCTTCAAAGGCAAGTCTGGCTTGTCAGGAACTTTCATATTTTTACAGATTTTTTATTAACATACCTTAGTGTACACGAGGGGGAGTATTTATTGTGACACTTCTATACATTCATACAATTTACCCCTCCATCATGCGCTTACCCTCCTCCCCAGCAAGTTTGATTGTTTTATTTTCATATCGGCAAATAAACCAGCTTGACTTTATTAATCCTTCTTCATTCTCTCCTCTCTTGCTGTACCTGCCAGCCCCAACAGAGCCTATGTTACTTTCCTATCATTAATTTCTTTTGGTGTGCATGAATTGTACCAAGGCGTCACACATGCCTGTATTATGTTCTAATAAAATAATCCTTTATCTTGGTTTTTCCTTCCCCAGGCCCTGTTAATCAACAGCTTTCAGAGAGTTCTGCTTTAGGCCATCTTTATATAGAGTTGCAATGTATTTCCAAGACTAGCGGAAAAAAAAAAAAGTCCCATATATTTTGCTGATCACTGTTGGTTCAGTCTGATACAGCAATTCAGGATGCTGGGATTTGAGAATATGGTTCAAAGGCAGCCCAGGCAGGAAAGTCTGTGAGATTCTTGTTTCCAATAAATTACTCAAAAGCAAACAAAAAAGAAAAAGGTAGAGCTGTGGCTCAAGTGGTAGAGCACAAGCCTTGAACAAAAGAAGCACAGAGACCGTGCCCAGTCCCTGAGTTCAAGCCCAGGACCAGCACAAAAAAAGAATCCTGTATATATCCTACAAAATTAAGAAGGTGAGGGAGGGGTCCATGGGGGAGGGACAGGTGAAAATGTTGGAAGGAGTAACATTGATCAAGACATATTGTGTTCATGAACTGCTTTCTTAAATGGCAACTCCTTTGTACAGCTACTTAATGATAAAAAAATACAAGACACCCATATATTTTTATACTTATTAACTATTTTATTTATAGATTTCTTAAGCATATCCTTTATGTTTTCCTATTGGAGTGCTATCTCTTTTAGATTAATTTCTGAGCTTTTTTGTTTTCTAATTTTGTTCATGTATATTTGACATACAGATTTTTCAGTAAAATTTAAAATTAAGCTCTTTAAATTCTAAAGGTAAAACTCCAGCATCTAAAAATGTTGTTATTCAATGAAAAGAAGAACGTCATTGACTATAAACTACCAAAAGTTTAAGTCCCTAGAGCCCTTAGCTATTTCCTTGTTTATGATTTTGCACAACTTTTAATTTTATTATAAAAATAAGAAAAAGCAACATTAAAAATATTTGAATCTAGAGCTGGACGCCAGCTAACCTTAGTTATTCAGAAAGCTTAATTCTGAGGATCATAGTTCCAAACCAGCACAGGCAGGAAAGTCTGAGGCTTATTGCCAGTTAACCACCAAAAAGCCTGAAGAGGAACTGTGGCTCAGTTGGTAGAGCACCAGTCTGTGAGGAAAAGCTAGGGGACAGCACCCATGCCTTGAGGGCTGGCATACACACAAAAAGTGACTCTGAGCTTCCTACCTTGTTAAAGGAGTAATTGATGCCATCGTTGATATTGTTCATGGAGAAGAAATTAATATTGAAAAAGAGACATGTTCGCTTTTAAACTTGCATATTTATTTTTGCAGTAAGGTTGCTGTTGCTGTCTGTCTGACTTCCAATTTACAATTCTTCTGTCTCAGCCTCTGGCGTGCCAGATTACAGGAACATACCACCACATTTGGCATAGATTGATCATTTGTTTGTTTGTATTGCTGGAACCAGGGCTTTAACTCAGGCCGTGTGCTCACTTGGCTTGCTTGAGCACAGCCTTCAACTCAGCTTTTTGCTGGTTCTTTTGGAGAGAAAGTCTTTTGGACGTTATTCTTCAAACTACAGTCTTCCAGGTTTCAACCTCAAGTAGCTAGAATTATAGGTGTTGACCAGCAGTAGTACTAGGGTTACAATTTTTTGGTGTGTGTGCGCCTGTCCTACGGCTTGAACTCAGGGTCTGAATGCTTCCCTTTGCTTCTCTTGCTAACAGTTGGAGCCACAGCTTCACTTCTGGATTTTTTGGTAGTTTAGAAGAGATGAGAATCTCACAGATTTTCTGGCCTGGACTGGCTTCACACTGCAATCCTCAGAATTCAGCCTCCTGAGTAGCCAAAATTCCAGGTGTGTGCCACTAGCGCCTGGCTGGGTTTTGTTTTATTTATTATTTTCCTTTGTCAGTCATGGGGCTGCACCCAGGGCCTAGATGCCGTCCCTGAAAGCTAGTGTTCTACTAGTGTGAGCCAGAGTTCCACTTCCTGTTTTTAGGTGGTTAATTAGAAATAAGAGTCTCAAGGCTTTTCCTGCCTGGGCTGGCTTGAACCATGGTTCAAGATCTGTAGATCTCCGCCTCCCGAGTAGGATTACAGGCACGAACCCCCAGCTCTAGCTTTTACTTTTTTTAACTTGTTTTGATAGGTTGAGATTACGCTCTGGCCTCCTCCTGTGCTTTGTGCTGTTGTACTTTGTGGAAAGTTGTGACTTACTCTTGGGTACTCAATATTCTTTCAACTAATTTCTTAGGT